GTGTGGGGTAGAGGGCTAAGTGTCTCGAATACTTTTGATGATTGCAATGATGATGATAAATTGTTTGCTAGCCTCATACAAAGTTTTCGGTCTCAGTGACTTAGGGATCTAAGATTACAGAATTATATTTTATTGTTCCATATTCTGATTTTTTTAAATGCCAAAAAAAATACCTCTCAGAAAATTTTATTAACCAGGAGTTTGTAACTTTAAAAATCACAAATAAAAATATAGAAAAATTCACAACATTTTTTTTTTACTAGCATACAAACTAACCCTAAAAATGACTAACAAATTAGGTAAGTACTGAGTAAAGTTATCATTAAAATGTTATTTTGTGTAACACATTTGGCTTCTATGCCCAAAGAACACAGAAGAGACATTTATTTTTCACTTTATCTTTTTTCACCAACACCTATATAAATAGAAGAATATTTACAGAAATAAATTTTAGGATCAAACTAGGTATAATCTCATATATATCACCTGCCTCCATGCTTGTTTCTCAACCCCTCCAAGATAAATAAGTTATAAAAAGAAAAAGATGATACAGAAATCAACATTATCTACAGGCATCTACAAAGACAGTTACCTGTAGGGCTTTTAAAATAGTTTGTCATTTCCAGGCTCTAGTCTCCTTCTCCTGTCCATCCTCACTCAAAGACATACAATACAAAATCCCTAGTTAACTTAGGTATTTGTCACTAACATGTGAATTTTTTTAGCCAATTACTGCTTCCTAAGCCTGTTCCACACAATTTAGGTTATAGGAGTGGTATGGAAAGAATATTTATAAAAATTCAGAATTTTAAAATTATTTTCTCCTTTAATCATTTCATCATTCTATACTAGGAAGAAAATAATCAGGCCGCCAGCTCTGTCTGGATTCATTCATCACGTTATCTATTTAATAAATAGGATACACTCTACTAAATGTTTCTACAGCTTCCAAGTCAGCCAGTTCCTAGAAGCACTACTCATCTTTGGCCACTGCAATTTCATCTCCTAACTGCTACTAAGCTGGAATGGAAATTTCTCACTTGATTTAGGTCCTAAGGACATAAATCAGGTCTATAGGAGAAAGAATAGTCACACATGTGGAAACCAGCCATCAGGGATTAAAAACAGAGGTATCTGGCAAGACTTTCAAATACAGGGAGATTAAAACGAAGAATGATGAGCTCTTATACACTTTCCTTTCTCACACTATAAGGATGAAAAATCTCTAAAAGGTTTTGAGTCATTGCCAAGTGGTTCCACCATAAAGTACTGAATGACCAGAATACATCCTTTAACCTCTCTACTTCAGTTTCCTCATCTATAATATGACAATTATATTAATAACTAAAATGTTTTTTAGAACACCTAGTCAAATGCATTCCTCTTTGCCAGGCTTGATAACAGCCCAAATTGACAAGAGGTCCAGTTCACAAGAGACAGCATTTTTAGTTAAAGCTCCCAAACTAAACACTTAAAACTTATTCTGAGCCCGAATATGGAAGGCCATTCTCACAAAACACTGACGTGGCTCCTCCCTCCTCACACTTCCGGCCAGGCTATTGCCGGCACCTCGGTCTCAAGTATTCTAATTGCCGCCACACTCCTGACCCAAGTTCATTGGAAGCTCCACAGAGCTGCTGTGCTACAGACCAGGCAAGAGAGAGGCCGCGGGTGGGAGCCGGGTAGCAGGGCTCAGGGCAGGTCGAAGCGGCTTCCTGGCCCCTCCCAGGGGAAGCGCGGTGGCTCCTTCTGCCTCGCCCCTCAACCGCCAGCCCGCCCAGGCTCCTTGCCTCACCACCTGTATCTCCACGAGCAAGCCTAGTCTGGAGAAATAGTGAGAGATTGGACATTGATTAAGTAATATATGTTAATATATGCAGAGTGGGAGAGTGTGGCAAGACGAGAAACAACCAACCTGAGAAGAGTTCGACCTCAGCCTTCATCAAGGAGTAGGAAAAAATATAAAGAAATAACTTATTTATCTTCAAAGTGAAAGGTACATATTATCAAGTGTATTCAATACATGGTGATCCAGTCATAGAAAATTAATGACACAATCAATAGAGTTTAAAAAAAGAACAAAAAAACAAACAAAAAAAAAACACCATTTCTAGTTGTTGGCTGCCAGTCCTCTTTGATTATCTCTAAATTACTTTAAAATCTACATATAGAAGTAACTTTTAGAAATTGTGGTGTTTAAATAAGAAAAAATCAAATGATGCCCAATGGTTTCTCTCTTCTATTTGTATACTTACTTTATTTTTAGAAATAAAAATACACAAAATCTTTTCCTTCTAGTGCCCTTAAAGGTACACTTTATTTCTTTTGCATGTCCATTTAAGGTTTACATTCTTAAACTGTCTAATCAAACATTTTACTACTAATACCAAGAAGAAAACACTAAATGAATGTCTTCCCATTAATCTCGATACATCCCATTTTGGGGAAATCATAGAGAAAGAAATCAAGTTATTTGGAAGTAAATCCTCTATTTTCACTGATATTCAGGATGCAAATGATGACTTCTCTTATTGCTTACTAGGTAACAATTCTCTTCTGAGAAATCTAAGCAGTAATCTCTTCTGGGAACTTCTGAGTCCCAGCCCCTAAGTATAGTGAAATATTAAAATTACAGTGGGAATTCCACATGGGAGCCAGATTATAGCAAAAAATTGAAGTGGCATCCCAAAGACAGAGCCTATTCATGAACTATTATCATTTAGCCTCAGACTCAACAGAAGAGAAGTTTGGAAGGGCCTTCTATGGGTACCTGCCTGAGAATGTATCTGTGTGGTTGTCCTTGAAGCTCTTTTGCATTAACCTTTGAAATACTCATGTTACAATCTGTTTGCCATAAAGTCTTCTGACATAAAAAAAAAAAAAAGATACATTCAAGTAGTTTCCCCATGATAGCCAGCTTCTGATTTAAAACATTGCCTTAGTTTTCTCAATCAACACATCTTAAGCAACAGCCTATCAAGAAAAAAAAAAAAAAGAAGAACAAGAACCTATCTGGAAAACCAAAATCCAGATGTTAACGAAATAATTTAATGTACTAATTCAGAACCATTCTAAACATGACAATAGTTTTCTTAATTTATTTTTGTATCATTTTATTTCCCTTTTGTCTCTAATAGTTTTACCATTTTGAAAACCAAATTAAACATAACTATGGGAGACTTTCTCACTGTTTCTGTTTTGAATTTCTTCAATATTCTTTCAGGAATTATTGAGTAAAGCCATATGGTACAGTGGTTAACATGGGCTTTGGAATCAGACAGATTTAGACCCAAATTCCAGTTCTACTTCAGGTATCCTCTCAAGGTTCCACCCCCTTCCTATGTTTAACAGGGATAGTAATACCTACCCTAAGGGTAGCACAATCAAAATGAGGTAATGTATCTGAAGCATACTGCACAGAGCCAGGCACCTAGTAATTACTCAATGAATGGTAGCTATTATTTTATACATATATGCACATTGAAAAATCTGGAAAACGAAGAAAAAAATCCTTAATTCTATCACCCTAGTAATACAAACACATGTCTCTTTGTAATTTATATCTACATAAAAACTTACATTATTACAATTGTAATATACAATTTTGTCTGTTTTTTTTACCTTATAAACACTTTTCCATGTTGCCATGTAGGATGCATAATTACCTTTTTAGTTTGTTGAATGAAATTCCGTGAAGTAAACTATCATAATTTAACCTCTAAATTCCTGCCATATGTTTGAGGTTTTTTGGTATTACAAATAATGCTACAATAACATTTGCATGAATATAATTTTTCATTCTGTGGAATTCGTTCTTTAGGATGAATTCCCAAAGCAGGCTTTTTGGCATAACCATGGACTCTTTCATGACTTAGTTTTACCAGACTACGTTCGACAGGATTATACAATTTGTGGTGTCTCCACCAATGGGCATAAACATCATCATGTCCTCTCCAACCTTCAGTATTAATACTAATATCTTTCATTTATTGAATATTTACCATGTGCCAAACACCGGTCGAAGTGCTTCACATATATCATCTCATCATCCTCACAACAAATCCCTGAAGTAGCTACTTTTGGTTATCCTCTTTTTACAGATAAGGAAGTTAATGTTCAGAAAGTTTAAAAGCCGTGTCCAGTGTCACATAGCAGCTAAGTGGTAGAACCTGGACTCAAACTCAACCTGTCTAATGCTCTAAACCACTTGGCTAGATTTCTGCTTTACTCTTTTCTTCCCAACTAGATGGGAAAACATATGTTCACTCATGTTTTAATATGCAATTCTTCATTACTACCGAAGTTGATCATTTTTACATATGTTTATTAAACTGTAAATTCTTATTGTGTTATTTGAGATTCATATTACTTAGCAATTTCTGTAAAGTGGTGGGGGCACCTGTATTCCCTATGTACTTATCACTAAGTGGGTGTGTCAGCATAACCTTTGCACAAGGGGTCCAGGTCCCTTCTTGATGACTTCACTGAACTGTCATTGTCAGTTTATAAGACAAGGTGCTATTTCTCTTTCTCCTCTTCCTGCCCAATATGCTCTGAGTACAAATACGTTCTAGAAAGTTATCATGTCCATATCTTTTCAATATTACTATTCATATGATATGGCCCCTGGCTAGTTTGGAACACCTTATTACAAGTAAGAGTGGAGACCCAATGTACCCTGAGGGGTGACAAACTAAAATAATTTCTTAACTGAACCATTTACCGAGGTCTTTGAGAACTAATCAATATCTCATTTGCCCCATTCTCCCCATTTCTCTTTCTGTCTTCAAATTTCTCTTTGGCTAAAGAGAAAAGATAAAGACTGAAATGTATAGGTTTTTGTAAATTTATGATCCAAACAACTTAGCCATCGTTCAAACTTTATCTCTGATAATATATATAAACATCATGAAAACCTCACTTATGATTTACTAAGCAAAACCAGATTTACCTAATAAATCTAAACTTAAATAATCTTATGTTAAAATACGCTCCGTTACCTGCATTATGTCTTGCAATATATCCAAGTGCCCAGGCTGCAGCCTCCTTGACTCCAGGGTCAAAATCTTCCAAGCATATCACCAGCGTATCCAGTGCTCCACAATCGACTATGGCCTGAGCTAGTTGAGGGGAATGTTTACCAACTGCTCGTAACACAAAGGCAGCTGCTTTCTTGTAAAAACGCTACAAGGATAAAATAGATAAAAACTCAAAGTGAGTTGAGCACTTATATAACCCAAAGTTAAAATAGACGAAAACCAATGTAAAAATGACATTACTATAATAAACCTCAACAGCGTTTAAATACAAAAGATGAAAAACATCCTGCAAAATCTTTTGCAATTTTTGCAAAAGCAATTCCCCATTGCTTCTGGCCAGTAACTGAACAATGTAAGTCTTATATTTCATTTTGAATGTTTTATTCTAAAACACGCATTTACAAAATAAAATATTATATTTCCTACAAATTTATAAAATAATGAGATTTTATGTATCTGCATTCACTGAAAGGTATTTGTTTGACCCATGGGAACTCTTAGATTGTTAGCATGTGCAACAAAATTGTCAGCTGACAAATCCGTTTCCTTTATTTGCCCTCAGTCTCTAAGCATGGTAGGCCTTTCGTGACCTCAACTAATCTTTCTGGTGTCCTAAGTTATCCTGAAATAACAACCATGTTTTGAGATGCACTTACCAATCATTGGATAAACATGAAGGCAAAACATTTATAATACATTTTAAAACTTTTCCTGGCAAATAAACTAGCCAAACAATGGGATATGTTATTTATCTTATTTTCAGAAATGCTTTTTTAAAAAGGTAAATACATATGACTTACCATTATGTGAATTTTAAGTAATGCTTCATATTTACAATATTATATATATAAATTTATCAGATTAAGAAATAAAACTGAGAGACAATTTTATTAAATAGCTAACAATATTAAATGTTTAGGAAGTATTTAGCTATAACACTACCTGTGGTTTTATGGTTCATATAATGACACAGTAATGGTCTCCTAACTCTTCCTTTTATTAATAGAACTCAGTTAATCCCCTATTTTAGATTTTAAGTTTCTATTTCTTTACAGTGACTACTAAAATATGATTGGGTGACTATAACACCTGTTTTGAAAGCATTATATTTACTTAGGCTAAAATATTAAGCTACAATAAAAATTATAGAAGAGAAAAAATACATCAAGTATATTTTTAACCTATTAAATCCCAAAACTTGGTATGTATTGATAGTATAAGAAATATGCCATGCTGCTAGTCATGATATTTTGATTTTATATATTTTTTTAGTTTCTTAAATGTAACATAGAGATATTAACATATTTGTCGTAAAGTCTAATTTTATATGTCAGTAACCAAATATCTACTAATTTATTGTAAAAATTAAAATAGAATTTAAAGTAGCCTTCCAAGATTATTTTCTTATAATTGTAGAAAAATAATAATGATGCATTTCTTGTCATTACCTTAAGCTAATTTGACTTTTTATATTGCAGAATTTTCGAATTCACAGACAATTTATTGGGCATCAATAGTCACTACTAACTACAGTGCCTATAATTCACACTTTCTGAACTCATTCCCCCTTTCTCCTAATTTCCACTTCCCCGAATTCCTCTCTTCTTTCCCATTCCTCACCAAAAGAACTTCCTTAAAAGCAAAAGCAAAACCAGAATTGTACCTCATTAAAAGAGATGAAGTCTCCTGTGAGAAATGAGTAAAAGGACTAGTAGGTGAAGGAGACAGAAGCTTGTGAATAATGCTTCACATTCTCGCTTTCTCCTCACTTTTCTGCCCTACTATTTTTTGTCTCTATACAACTAGTAGACGTTCATTGACAGTTAGAAAACTTCTAGAGAACCTTCTATGTGGAATATCAAAACACGAACTCTGCCCTCAAAGGAGCTAAGAGTCCAGGAAGAAGAAAGTCTACCAGTATTTGATGATAGAAGGAACACCTACAAGAAAAATAAAATTTCTGTGACTCCTCATAGAGATAAAAGTCATGAGTAAATGACTCTCTAATCTATAAAATAAGGCACATTTGTAAACAATTAGGATTTGTGGGGTATTTTAAATTCTGCTAAAATACACATAACATAAAATTTTTCATTTTCATCAAAGTATACAATTCGGTGGCATTTAGCGCATTTACAATGTCGTGCAACCATCACCTGTCTAGTTCCAGAATATTTTTCTCACCCCATATGTGTTGAGCAGCCACTCCTCACTCCCCTCTCCCCCATCCCTGGGCAATCACCAATCTGTTACTATCTCTATGGATTTGCATATTCTGGATATTTCATAGAAATGGAATCATACAGTATGTAGCCTTTGTGTCTGGCTTCTTTCTCTTAGCATAACATTTTCAAGGTTCATCCACTTTGTAGGATTATCAGTATTTCATCCTTTTTATGACTGATAATACTCCATTGTGTATATATATAACATTGTGTTTACTCAGTCATTCTTTTGGTTATTGTGAATAATTCTGGTATGAACATTTGTGTACAAGTTTTGTTTGAACACCTGTTTTCAGGTCTTTTGGTGATATAACTAGGGGTAGAATTGCTGTGTCATCTGGTAATTATGTTTAACTTCCTGAGGAACTGCCAAGCTGTTCCACAGCAGCTGCACCATTTTACACTCCTACCAGCAACGTATGAGGGGGGTCCAATTTCTCTGCATCTTCACTAACACTTATTATTTTCCTTTTTTTGTTTTTTATTATGGCCATCCTTAGTAAGCAAAGTGCTATCTCATTGTGGCGTTTATTTGCATTTCCAAATGACTAATGTTTCTTGGCCATATGTACATCTTCTTTGGATAACTGTCTATTCGATTCCTTTGCCTATTTTTAATTGGATTGTCTGTCCTTTGGTCGCACAACTAGGAATTAATTTGAAAGATGTATCAAGAAAGATATATCACTAGGTTATGATAAACTAGCAGAACAGAATGAACAGTCCAAGACTCTAGCAATGGGAAGGTCCCTAACTATTGTTACGTGGCACTGCACAGAAACAGGTGGGACCAGACAGGAGGGGAAAGCTGGGGCACTCTTAGATGGCCTTTAAAGTGGCTAACATGCTTGCACACTTGGTTAGAATGCTTTATCAAACCTTCCCTTACACTCATTCTCCTTCCTGTTGGAGAATTTCTCTTGCTTTAGAGCTGTTTCTTACAGTTGCCATTAACCAGGTTTCACTTGTATATAGAGATTGCTGAAAACAGCTTTTTGTTTGCCTAGGGCTTCATATACCTTTCTAAGACTGATCCTGTAATGAATACTCCCAAAACACAGAAATACTGCTCTATGCATAATTCCGTTAACATTTTTTAATCTATTTTCTCCTTATAGTAACAATAATGGAAAAAAAAAACCCACTACATACCAACCCCAAAGTAGAATACCCGAAAGATATTATATGTAGTTCAAAGAATTGAAGATGTATTAACATCTTAATAATTCTAATGCCTACAAGCTTGCAACTGTATCCAAAATATCAAATTTTTAAAAATCCGAAACAAAACAAAAAACATACGACATATATTTTTTAAATCTTACATTCTGTTCTGCCAGTGAATAAACAAGCTGTGGAAGAATGTCGCCCTTCACAACCGCTTCTGCTAGGTCATCGTTGTAATTAGCCAATCTCCCAAGAGCCAAAGCAGCAGTCTGTTGAATTGTTGGGACCACATCCAGAAGAAGAGGTCTCAGCAAAGACATTACACCTGAGTTAAATTATGAAAGACAGAAATCAGCAAAATTTAAATTAAAAAGTGAACATACAATTCGGCATACATATAGGTAAGAAAATTAAGGGGAAAATCAGTGAAAAAAAAAATTATCCACTGAAAACAAATGGGATATTTAGAAGCATACAACTGGCCAAGATTCAGAATAACACAAACTGTAATTATCAAAGAAGCAGTATAACATGAAAATAAGAAAGGCTCTGGGGTCGGATAAAAGTTTAGATCCCTGATTTGGCAAACACTAGCTGTGTGACCTAACAGGGCTGTCCTGAGGAACGCAGAGAAGGGTCGCGAAGCGCATGGCTAATGCCCAGGACGCGGAAGGGTGGAGGGGGCAGCGAGGATAGAGTTCCCCACCAGCCTTTGCAAATCCTGTCTTTCAGGGCTCAGTTCACACCCTTTTCTCTCAATGAAGTCTTGTGTTTGGTCTTCCCTCTGATTCCAAGTGAACTTGGAGTTTATTGCAGAAATTTTATCAGGATACATCTCAGAGCCCAGGGAGCTAAGAAGAGCATTTGGCTAGGACCTCGCATTCATGAAGGGCCGCAAATCAGATTTCTGACATTATCTCCAAATAAATAAATTCGTTGAGATAAGGAAGTAAATCGTATTACTAGCTCTCATAATATTCACTCTAGGTTTGACTACATAGCAGGTATATCATTATCACAACAAAAATAATAAAAGTAGCTTATATTTATGGAGCGCTTATACACATACATTGTTTTAAGGACTTATTTTCCATATTAATTCAGTGAGCTCTCATAACAAATCTATGAAGTAGGCCCTATTATTATATCTCTTTTATAAATGAGAAAATGGAGGTTGAAAAAGTTTAAGGAAATCATCATGCAACTAATAAATGATGGAGCAAGGTTAGAAATTCTGACATTACTGATAATTGCTAAATAAATAATATGTGTTAAAAATCGAGGTGAGAAAAGGGAGACGAATAATAATTGCATTTTGGTCATTTTATTGAATATTCCAACCCTTTATATTAACTTTGCCTTACTATAAAATAGTCCACTGCTATCTGTGCTTTAATGATGCTCTTTTAGTCTAAGGTTGATGGTGGCATCACAAGAAAGATGATGGCATGGCTCAAACTGGAATGAAGTGCCCCGTGACTTTCCAAACTTTACATGACTTACTTGTAAAGCTTATCCAATGTGATGTTATTACATATTTTCCATAAAAACATAACCCAGTGATCTATAAAGACAAGCATTACCAGTATTCTTTTATAATGTTATATCCAGAAACATTAAGTAGAATAAAAGGAAAACATTTATAATAACACTTAGGATTAGACAAAAATAAGATAAATAGTACTGCCAAATAACATAAACAGAGAATAATGATGCTTATCACAGATACATTTAATAATGTGGCTTTTCATAATTTAAAATTTCACTTAGTGATTATTTTTATGTTTAAGTTGGCTTGGTTGGATCATCTTATATGAGGCCACAGTGGCGAATTTGAACCCTACTCAGGCCAGTTAACTTTGCAGCCATGAAGCACTCCTTCTCATGCCCATGCCAAAGCTCCTGTTAGAGAAATCAACAAGTCTACACTCATACGTGCTGCTTTTATTATTATACTGTGTATAGAGATAATTTCTGAAGTACCTCACAACAAAAAGTTTAAAGCACAGAATAAGGTATTAGAATTACTACCAAAGTTAATATGGATTCTTTCTAGAAAGTTAGATTTAAAACAATTTGCCAATCTCTTCTAGATTTGTTTTTTTTTTTTTTAGTTTTTTAATTGTGGTAAATACACATAACATTTTAACCATTTTTAATGTGCAATTCTGAGGTATTAATTACATTTACAATGTTGTGTAATTATCATCACTGTCTAGGAATGGTTAAACGGTTCTACAAGGCTGCACCACTTTACATTCCCACCAGCAAAGTTCAAGGGTTCAAATTTCTCTACATCCTCACCAACTCTTATTTTCCTTTTTCTTTTTTTTTTTATTATAGCCATCTTAATAGCTGCGAAGTGGTTTCTCATTGTGGTTTTGATTTCATTTCCCTAGCACTAATGATGGTGAATGTCTTTTTCATGTGCTTATTGGCTATTTGTATATCTTCTTTGTTAAAATGTCTTTTTTTTTTTTTTTTGCTCATTTTTAAGTTGGGTTGTTATTTGTTGTTATTGTTGAATATAACTCGACACATGTAATCATAGGCATTATTTTAACTAAAATAAGTCAATACTTCAAAAAAAGAAAAGCTAAATTTGTTAACATATATTTAAAATTTTATAATAAATACATTAATGAGCCCAAGGCCAAAAACATAAAGTATAAGAAAAGGAATAGTTTTAAAAGAATCACAACTGTTTCATGTTGTTTTTTCTTGATGATTCCATTATTTCCTTTTTTTCTCACTGAAAAATTTATGTGAAGGAAGTGGCTTATTGCTTTTTGAAGTATAATTGGAAAATCAATCCATATTGGGGTATTTAACCTAGATATTTTGAATTAAAATCTCAAGAACTTAGAACTTTTATGTTAAGAATTTGAAGAGTGGATTCATCTGTCTAGGAGTATAATATTTAATTATAAGTGTTTATTATGGCATTTATGTAATATATCAAAAGTCTCTCAATTTTGGAAAATTTTAGTTTGTAATTTTAACAGTAAAATATTCTGCCTCCAAAAAGCTATTTTGCTTATCCATATACTCAAAGGAATTTTCTTCTTTATATATATTCTCCTCCATTTTGTTACTGAGTCTGGCCCAGGAAAAATAATGTAAATAAAATTACACACAATCCTTTCCTTCTATTTCCTTCTATATCCAAGGTAGGCGTCTACGCAAACACTCTACTCTATCATACTTTTCCTATATTCCTTAGTTCAGACAGTAGCATGAAGAGGATTTAGAAAAAAATTAAATCTCTGAACCTATAAAAGTAAAAGCAAAAGCCTCCATTTAAAATGTCTTTGTTTGAATAAGGTCATTCTTATTGAAGAAAATATTGCCCCAAATTTCTAGTCCTTGAATTGCCTCTTAGTGCTTCATAATCATTAGTCCCCAGGGACATGTTTTCATCTCTTACACAGATTAAGCATGGAGACTTTGTTATTCTAATTACAGGTTTGTCCTAAAAGTAGATAATGCAAAAAGAACTGAGAGAGGGAGAGACAGAGAGAGACAGAGACAGAGACAGAAAGGCAGATACAGAGACAGAGAGACAGAGAGAGGTAGTATATATAACATAAAAAGAAATTTCCCCTTACCTGCCCGTCCATTACGAATCCATAATGACTGATCCTTGGTGAGCGAATGCATGAAAATTTAGAGTCCATAAATTACAGCAGTCTGAACAGTTGCTACAATATCTGATACACAAGATCTCTAGGAGCAGCTAATGACTTCATTGAGATCCCCACTGAAGGAGACAATATGTACTATCTAATGATGTGAAACTATTTCTGAAATTTAACTTATAGAATGAATCTTTACAATGTTCCCCCTCCTCCAACTTTATAACTTTGAGTTCCTTTTCTATTTCTCTTGTTCCAGTGCCATACCGGAGACACTGCTGCTAATATTTACACTGCAATCCAGTTATGCCAAAAATAACCTTGCTTATCCTGTCCACAATCATTCATTCAAAAAACAGATCAAGGTTTACAAATGGCAAAGAATAAGACTACTCATGAGTTAAGGCAGTTCCTCTTCTCAAGAAACTAATAATCTAATGGAGGAGATTATACAATAGCCTGGAAAGAATCACAACTCTTTCCTTTAATTCCTTTTAATGCAACAGAGGCCTAATTACTTTGACTTTGCATGGCAATTCCATATATAAATAAATCAGGGAGAAAATGTCAAACATTTCCAAAGACAAAAATATCACCCATTCATTCTCATACTCTATGTATATAATTTATATACATATTATCTCAATCTTCTGTTTATAAAGATATTTAACATCTCAACTTTGTTTCTTTAAAACAAGTATCTGCACACAGTGGCCAGGACACGGAAACAACCAAAGTGTCCTACGATAGATGATTTGCTAAAGAAGCTGTGGTACATATATACAATGGAATATTACTCAGCCATAAGAAGAGATGAAATATAGCCATTTGCGACAACATGGATGGAACTTGAGATAATCATGCTAAGCGAAATAAGCCAGACAGAA